CTCGCCGTCTCGCTATCTCGCGCGACGGTCCTTCGCGCTAATTACATTTTCACAGTTCGCGAGTCTCCGCATCGGAGAGAGAGAGAGAGAGAGACACTTTCCCATTTTCGTTCGCGCGGGAAAGGAAGAGAGATGGAGCCGCGGAGTAGAGAGCAAAAATACGCGGATGCGCAATTGAAATTGCAGGTGACTTCTGAAGACGGGAGATGCATTTCAACGGGAGCGGCGGGAAATAAATTTATCACGTCGTTCGTCCGGTACTTACGCTTGTGTCGCGGCACGGCGCGGTGTCACATACGGAGTGGGGGTTGGGGGTGGATTACAGCGGCCGTTGTAAATGTAGGTGTAACGCGCGCGTACAACATGCGGGTCGCGCACGTGTGACTCCTCTCTGTCTCCTACCGGCGCGGCGAGTTATATCGAGTACAATGCTACCCGGAGGCCGGACCTCTATTTTTCGTGTACACGTAAAATCCATTTGGTCGTTCGACATACCGGGTTGTCGCTCCGGCACAATCACATCGTCCCCTTGTCACGGCAGGCTACGGCAGGCTTGGGCTTTATTGTCCGGCGTTCCTCGCGCTAAAAATTCCCGGCTTTCGCATCGAAAACGAAGAGCAATTATCCCTCGCGCGTTCCTTTTAATTGTCCGTCTGAGAGAGAAGGAAAATGAGAGAGAGAGAGGGAAAACCCCTCTTCCGCGACGCGGAAAATATTGTATTACTTTTCTGTTACGGAGCGCAAGCGCGAGAACTCGTTAAAAGCGCGTAGGTAGTCCGGCAGGGGGCTGGAAATTTTGTCATTAACGAGAATGCGCCGGAAGAGGATTACTCGGGCTTATAATTTTTATTTTATTTCCCTCAATCCGTCCACCGTTAATGTCTATCGATCCTGTCTTCCGTTTCCCGCCCTCCACAGGGTTTTCTCTCGGTGAACTTTTGTACGTTCTTTCTTTCGGATTGCATTTTTTACGACAATGAGGAGAGAGTAGAGTGTCTCCTGCTGCCTGAACTTTTACGATGAATGGATATTACTAATATATATAGCAAAATGCATAAACAATATTTCTGTATATTACACACATTATTTTTTCCGAATATAATAAAATATTGAAGATGCACATTTTTTATAAATACCATTAAAATATATATATTTCTGGTTGTGCAATATTTTATATAAAGACTATTGAGATAGGCGACTTTTTTTCGACGTGAGTGTATCGAAAATAATTTATGAGATGGTAAAATACGTTAAAGCGCAAATCTAAAATTACTCGTCTCTACTATATAGGTACTATAGAAAAGAATATAAATTCCAGTTCACTCTCTTTTTAACTATGTAACATTATATTTTTTGGATATAAAATAAATTATTTTTTCCATTATAATATAAATCTCATGTTTCATATAATAATTCAAGAAAATGTCTTTCAGCAATAAACTCGAATAATATGTCGTACAAGAACCGCAAGTTATTATACCGCTCCTGATCTCATTTAATTATTGAAAGATCGATATGAAAGGCAGATGTGCGTAGTTGAAAAAAAAATGGCAGCGATAAAAGCGTGCATTACACGATGCTCCGATAGAAACTAATACACGAATTAGCATTAAAGTATCATCTAAGCAAACGCGGTCGTTTATAACCAAGCAAAGCCGCCGCCCTCCAATGCGCACTCGTTCCTTTTTATCAGGTTTCTCTCTCGTTTGTTTTCACACGACATACACTTCCAACCCGGGCGGCTTATTTCTACGGCGCGGTGGCGGAAGGTCGGGTATTCCCGACGCATCGCGGTAATGCCACGGTATTACACTGCAGAGACGTCTGAGCTCACTAACCGGTAAATATGAGTTTTCACTTGGCGCGACCGCGTTCTGCCGCCAGGTTCCATTTTTGTCTCGTTAATTACGATTACGCGTCAGTCCCAAGGCGCGACATTGCCCGGCCGCCGACGAGACGCGTCTAGAAATCTGGAAAATGAAGGACACGAGGGAAGAGAGAGAGAGAGGGAGACAGGATGCGCTGCAAAAATTCATTTCGAGCGAAAATTCTCTATACTAAATGATAGATTTAAAATCGGATCTTAAGTTAAAATCCGATATCGTTTTAGAATAAATAAATAGTTAAATACGTATGGAAGATACTAAAATTTCACTCGGGGATTTTTCGTCTTATTAATAGGGTTTATCCCTTTCTTATTAATTATAATAAAGTTTCTAAAATTATGTCGACAAGAATTTCTGTCCGAGTAATAATCTCTTCTGCAACTTGAAAAACTTGAACAAAAAAAGACTCGGTACATTTCCACGAGGGTTGATGTTCATTACTTCTTTTTTCCTGAAATTTTCGGTGACCAGTAAAAAACATTATATGTTTTTCTTGCGATTTGGTGCACCATTGTCACAGAGCCCGAATTTGTGAGAATTAAAAACCGAAACCTCCGGGCAGCATCACGCTCCGCGTTTGTAATTAATTAATGCGCAAGCAAGGGGATGGGTCTTATGCGATCTTGATGAGGCTTTGATACGTTGCGGGACAAGTCGTAATGAGAAAAACGTGTCAGGTCGCATCTAACGGAAAATTGCCTTGAGATGTTGAATTAATTTCTCAAGGGAAAATTGTGAGTTCAATCTAGCATTAACTTCACTACGTTTATTTGAAATATGTTTTAAACTTATATGGATTTAATATTAAAACTCTCGTTGGATATTGAGACTTGTCACGTGTAAATAAAAAAGTAAAACAAAATGTCATCCTCCACTCATAATTTCTATTACTTATACGAATAAAAAATGCGTAGGAAAAATAGAAATTTTATATCATTTAAATCATGTAAAAACAATCCATTTTTAAATACAATAATTATGCAGATTATTTTTTCACAAACAATTAAATCTTCTTAAGTTTTGAGTTTATCATATACGCATAGTATCATATTATATCGTTTAAAGAAAATTTAATTTAATAAAATATAATGTGCCATCCCACAATTCCCTTTTCGAGCAACGTGCAATATGCGAAAGCTTTACGCTTTCGTAAAAATGAGCAATTTTCACAGAAAGCAAGTACGTCGGTCCCTTTGCTAATTACTAATTAAACGCGAGAAACTGCACCGTAACTCAGATCGCATAAAGGTAGCCGATCGGGCCATTAACGGAACAATTAATATTTCAGCACTATTGCTAAGACAATATGTTTCTCAAAAGGCTCTTACAATCTCGTCATACATATGACAAACTACTTTTTTCCCGCTTTTTACAGATAGCAAAAGGTTTAAATCTGTTCCCGAGATAAATTCCCGCGTTAAGAGCGACATGCAAAAACTTAATTCTCGCTTTGACATTTTTACTGTCCTTCTACGAAGTGCCGCGATTAAACACACATTCCTACGGTAATCACTAATTAAACACGAGAATTTAGTACGGCAATGCTGTTTTAAGGCTCACTCGGATCTTAAGCAGCTCGTATATGGGTAAGGCGTAAGTCGATGTAAGTATATGTAAGTATGTATACTCGAGAAATGTATTTGGGAGAATGTACGAGGTCGGTTCCGCGTTATGGGATAGGCTCGAGACTTCCCGTGGTTTGTCTTCGGTGCTTCGACCCGCGGAAGCTATATTTCCACGGGACTTCCGGGAAACAGAGAACCCGCCGGCAATTAGTCAGGAAGTGCCCTACAAGCCCACTACTGCTCACAGAGCGAGAGCTTTTGCCGAATAGGACGCGCTCTCGCATATACCCGGCCGTCCTTTGCGGAAGATTCGTCTGTGCTCGAGCAATTTTGAACCGCGAGTGAAATATTCATACACGACATGCCATTAACGAACGGAGGAGTGACCCCGAATATGACTCATTTAATACGCGGATTCTTCGATTAAATTTCCGTCAAATTTTCGTTCTAACATTTCTGTCAACTTCAAATTAGTATCATATCATTTCATCGAGCTTAATTTAATTCTGTAACAATCAATATCATTTTCCGCTGAAAATGGAAAGAGAGTTTATAATCCGCGTACATCCGCTGCAGGATATTTATCTTTCTACATTTCGATAAATTTTCGATAGATATACATATATTAATGCAATATAATTATTTCGCGAACAATGGTACATTTTATGCAGTTTGTCGAATCTATGATTTTTTCATAATTCAGATGGTTGTCAAATTTCTTTTTCTTTCGTTAGAGCGGCATCACGAAACATTTACACATAGCATGCAAAGTTTTTTCAGACTAGTCAAACGATCATTCGCGAGTATTTACACATATGCTTCGTGAGTTTCGCTGACGTTTCTTGCGCGCAGAATTTCCACCCCGAATCCGACGAGTGTTGTTAATGAATGCTCACTTATTCTCGTGTCACAGACATTGAATTTATTTACCAGTAACTTAGATATGTCTTGAACAGATGCGAGTAAAGGGTGAGCGATTTTTGATATAAAACCATTTGCAAGGGAATACTTTATAAACGTGTGATGAATTATTTTTCGCGTTCGTTCGCGAATAATTGTTGACCCGTATATCGTTGTAAATTGTGTTTAATGATAAAAATGTATTCTGCAGTAATAATTCCAATTATTGTATAAACAAGAATAATTTCAAATCTCTCTTATTTCAAAATATAAAGTCTTCGTTTTTTTTCTCTTCTTCAAATTAGTAGCAAGTTAATTTCAATTTTTAATCTTATAAAAATGTTATCACACATAATATATTACGTGAGAATTCTATTAAAATAAAGTTCAAAATTATATATAAAGAATAAGTATATTTTAACCAAGAAAGCGTCCTAGATTATTTCATGCATTCATATATATTTTAATATAATAAATTATTTTGTGCATTCTAATATGAAAATTATTTCTGGTACTTTTGTTAAAAATAAATCTATTTCAAAATTATTAAATATTTAAATTAGAAAAGTGTCAAGAATCCGTATTTAAAAGAAACTCAGTATACGATATGCATATATACGAAGAAAATATTTTTCTTTTATTTTTGCAGACGGTGAACCGCGGGATCAATCTACTTCGAAAAAGATGAAGGAGTAGAACGCGACGTGGCGATGGAAAGGAAAGAATCGTGGGAGGCTGCGACCGAAGAGGAAGCGGAAGAAAAGAAACCTGGGATATTACTTTTGCTCGTTATCGGTTAATTGGAATCACAAGATTCTCGATCGTTTCCGAGAGCGAGAGAGAGAGAGAGAGAGACAGTCCCACCGTCTCTCCCATCCGACTCATCTTCCACTTCCCCCCATTTGTGGCCCACTATATCCCTTTGTAACGTCGCGGGATAAGCGACTTCGCCGAGTACAGGGTGGGATGCAATTACGGTCTCTCTATAACAAACTCGACTCACGCGGTAACTACTTGCCCGGAGCTTACTCGTAGCTTACTCATGCATTGGCGCGATAAATTCACTCCTCAAGTGCCCTTCGCTGCGTTTCTGAGTTTGGAGCTAATAAGAGTCTTTTTCACCGCTCTCTTTTTCTCTCTCATACTCTGCTTTGTTTTCGCTTACCCTTTGTCTTTAAGGGGATCCTTAGCTAACCTAAGTTTCCTTTCTGTTTTATCGACAAAATGTGAGGTTAGATAAACTATAAATCTATTTATTGGCTATATAGATTGTTTTTTACCTGAATTAGAGCGCTTCGTCCTTTGTTAATATTAATACATTAATTTGTACAGGGGAAAAAGACTTATTTTAGGTAAAAACAATCCCGTATAGCCAATAAATAAATTTATAGTTTATCTAACCTCACATTTTGTCGATAAAACAGGACGGAAACACACAGACTTCTCAAGGACGTTTAAGATCACCTTAATTATAAAGCGTATCCACATCGAGTGTGTAACGAGGTATTCTGTAAATAATCATGTAATTAAGATTTTAAAATCGGATAGCCGAAGAAGCGTCGACGATCTTCGCGAAATGAAGAAAGAAAAAAGAAGGGAGACAATGAACCCGTCGTCCACGAAAACCGATATTTCCGTCGTCGCGGCGACGACGACGACCGTACGCGTCTCGACGACCCAACCGGAAGAGGAAATTTCATCTTCTCGCGGCCTGCGACTTTTTTCCTCCATTGCCATCCCGCTTCCTATTCGACGACTGTTGCCGCTCTCCTTCCATTTTCTCTATCTCTCTTCCCTCTTTTCCTTTTCTTTTTCTTTTTTCTCTCTCTCTTTCTCGCATTTTTTATTTTTATTTTTCGTTCATATAAACTGTCGCACGTCAATTGCCGTATGTGTGTTCCATATTGGTGATTGTTTCGTTTGTCGCAACAAAGCTCATTTCGCCACGCAATGTCAATAAAGTTACGTCGTTTCATCGTCATACGTTGATCTTCAGTGGCTATTAAAGAGATGGCGTAAAGAAGGACTTCGTTTTTATTGCACAAATATAAAGAGATATAAATTAAGATAATAGAGTTATAAATAGAATGGAGGAAGCGCGATATTTTTTCACACATATTGTTTGCATGTTAATGTTTCACGTTATGCCGACGTTTTGCTGAATATTCATTTATATAAAAGCTTTTATTTTATTAATTATTATGACAACTGCAATAATTAATAAAAGCAGAGCAGAAATATTACTAAAAAACATACCTTTGATCCTTAATTAATTATATAAATATTTTTCGCACTTTGTTACAATAGTGCGCAAAAACGTTTGTGTAACCAATTAAAAATAAAAGCATTTTTCTCCTCGCCAATATTTTTTGCATAACACAGTTTATTATTACGTATCCAGCTTTCACCCAATTTAGCAGATATTTTTATTTTATATTACATGTGTTTCAGTAATAATTATTAAGTATTATTTCTCTTTGTTTTCTCTTTATCTATATATACTAAATCATCAACGAACACTTTGAATGATCGATTTTTGGTACAAAAAAAGATTATTGTACTGATATAATTTCCTACAAGCTAACAAAAGATTTTAAATCAACTGCAATAAATTCATAAATACAAATGTTCTGGATTTATTTACACAATACCACATAAAATATCGTTGCTTTCTGCAACGCTACAAAGGCTGGTACGATTCTCTTTTAGAAAATATCTCGACCATCGCTGAAGACCAATTAGGAAGAAAAGCAAGCCAAACAGGTCGTTCCAGCGTCTATTAGATACAAGGAGACACTCGACACGTTGTTGCAGCATCCGCGTCCAATTATTACAGTTACATCATTACTTATTGTTTTGCAATGAGGCAAGTTTTCTTCTCTCTCTTTCCCTCGCGTCTCCTTTTTAATCCTTATATTATTAAGATTCTCAAATACTTGGATACGTCGTTTTAAACAAAAGAAGAAAAACAATTTATCGAATACGTGTTTTACATTAAAACATAATTCAAATTCAATCAATTAATGCGTCGCGAAATTGTGTAATTCTGCAATTGGAAAGAAGCAAGTAGGAAAAAAATGTCCTTTGCTAAAAGGATGTCTTAAGCCACCTGACGAAAGTTCGCTCCTTCTTATATTATCATCGCGCCAGCGAGCACTTCGTTCCCGTTAACTTTTTAACTAGTTGCGAATTAAAATTTAACTCCAGTGTATCCACTCTCGCCTCTTACTCACCGCCGTTCGGCACTTTCTGGCATTATAACTCAGTGAAACGCTTCTAGAACCGAAGTTGGCGGATTGCTCGAAGGGATACTGATAAGATACGAAAAAAATGCAAAATGTTTAAATCTTTTAAACATTTCCTTCAATGATAAAAAATATAATAGCGTTTATTGTGGTTGAAGTTCTGATTTCAGTAAAGAAATTTTCAAATCTCTCAATAAATTATATTTTATATTATATATAGATATATATAGATAATTTAAAACATATATAAATATATATATTTATGTATTGTTTTTATAATGTATTAATAATGTTATGAAATTTTATCGAGATGTAGAGTTCTGAAATTTTTATAAAAGATTGTTGGAATTCCTAGAATTTCTCAATTCGGTATTCTTCCGCTTTGAGAAAATTGATTTGTTTTTCTATTATTTTGCTCGTTGCGATATGCAAAACACAACGATAAATACGACACACAGATGCGAACCCTTAGTTAATTTACCGAATTCCACGCATAAGAAACAAATGCTGTTTTTTTATTTGGCGCGTAAATATAAGGGTTTATGAATTTTTTGCCGTTGGAGAAACTTGCGTTGCTTCTCGGGGAGTAAAAATGCCGGCAAGTCGGAGATTGCATTTTTTTCAATTTTAGAATGGGAGATATATGAGATAGAGAGAAGAGGAAAACGGGCTTCTTCTCTCGTCGCGGAGATATTCTCATAATCCGCTGCATTCCAAGGTCGCAGCTAATGCCGGGGAAATCTGTCAGAGAAGACGAGACGACAGCTTAGAAGTTTCACGAATGTCCGAGGGGTCTTAAATTAAAAGAATTTCGCTCGGTAAAGTATCTTCGGAATTTTTATTCGTTGTAATCTATCGCATAAAACTTTGACAAGTAGAATGCATTACGCATAGCACTCCTTTAAGAGATTAAACTACTTTAAGATTATCAAAAATTGCACGAAAAATAATTCATAAACTGTTAATAAACAAAATTCCTTTTCTTTTGTAATTCTGTACTCTCTCTCTCTCTCTCTCTCGTTTTTAATAAAAAAAGATACATGCAAAATAGGTATACAAAAAATAGTTTATCTAGGACGAAAAAATGCTTATATATACCTAATAATGTATATAACTAGTTTAAGGCAACTTCGAGATAACTATAAGATGAAATTTTGCGGGTGCAAAACTTTGCGTACTCGCGATTGTAATTACGTGATTTTTGCGATGGTGACAAAGTTTCGTCGTCACGAAGCGCGCGAGTTCGCCGAGAAAAACGGTAGCTGCGCGGATGTCCTTCTTTTTTTCTCTCGCTCACGGAGGGAGGCTTTACGGGTAACAGAAATATACATAAACTGCGCGAGATACATTATGATAAATAATGCATAAATATACATAAGTATCAGAGGCGGTGGAAAAGTTGGGAACCTTTACAAGAAATCTTATAAAGACTTTTACGAGAAAAGTTCCGTTGCGTTCTCACGATATTGGAACATAGACACGCGCTCGGAAACACACATATACATCTACGCCAACATGTATTGCGTAAACGTCGTCTATGATCAATGCCCGGGAACATTTACATCACAATGCGAAATCGACGCGCGTAGCTTAATTTCGCGTAGCCGGAAAATTTCGCGGCGTCGTCGATACTCTTTATAATTCGGCTGAATTATTCATCAGCCGTTTTAATCTGTGTCCTGGATTTTAATAATGAACGTAGCAGTCGTATAAAAAAGTGGGAGATATCCTCCCACGCATTAATGAAGCACGGATTATATTATATTTGACAAATGAAGCGAATGCCACTTACCTCGATACATAATATATGAATATCGAGGATTGTGAAATATAATTTTCATTCACACAAAGAACTGTAGCCTTTTTAAGTTTATCAAACGAGAAAGCTTTATGAAAACTGAAGCTGCGAAATTTCGTCAAAATAGAAAATTTGCGACAAATATATGTATGTCACAGAATATATAAATTAGCAAAAATAAAACGATATATATAAGTTTTTGTTCATTAATTTATAGTTAAAGGTAAAATCGTTATTATTATTGTATATGTATTACATATGAAAGTCTTTATTTTAATCCTCGTGTGCACTTAGTTCGCACGTTAAACAATAATGCTGGATGATAATAACTCGAAAATTTTACACATTCCTGTAGAGGATAAAACGCACTTAACGGGATTACGCTGCGGCTAAATGACGACGTACATATTTTTCCGTATTTTTCCATCCTCGATGAGGTCGCGTGGAGGCACTAACGAAGCCGCGTTCTCCAAACCAGACCGTAATTTTATTCGCAATTTCGCGGCCGGCGCGTCGAGAGACTCATAACAAGTGCAACGGTGCAACGCGCGCGTTTGCGTCTTTGAAAAAAAGAAAAAAAAAAAAATTATTTCGCACCGGAGCAACATCCTCGTACGACGACGTGACAGCGGGATGATGCGACGCGCCTATGCATGTGCGTAAAAGAACGCGTCGTTGCGAACAAGTAGAACGGATTTTGCGAACGCATAGAAAAGAGTCCGAGGGTGGAAAAGAGAGAGAGAGAGAGAAGCATAGTGCGAGAATGCAGCGGCCGAGTACAGCTCTCTTGCCATAGACCAGGCGCGGGACGAACAAATTGCACGTTCCCAGTCTCGTTAAAACAATGTCGTCGCGTAAAAGGTGCGGGAGAAAGGGTGAGGGTGGGAAGCGACATGAGAGAGAGAGAGAGAGAGGGTGCAAACGCGAGGGAGGGAAAAAGAGGGACGGGTTAGGTGACTGCTGCAGCCTCCAGCGAAACAGTATTCAGGTGGAAAGAGCTCTTCGCTCGTTAGCATTTAATTGAGAACCTCGCGGAGAGAAGAGTATCCTACCTTCTCCCTCGCAGACCGCCCATCGTAACGACCGGTCGACGGGCTCGTTTAAATATTTTAATAATCTCTTGTATCGCGAATGGCGATTCGAATATTTAGCGGTGCTGCGATATCCCAGAGCGGCGGAATACGCTCCCTTTGCCGCGTTGTC